TAATGGCTACAGCAAGAAAAAGGATTTTTTGTAAAAAAAAAATATTTATAATTTATAAGATTGGCCAACTTCCCATCACTTAGGGCCACCGTCCACATTAAAATAGATGCAATTGCTAAAATAACAACAAGAAGAAATAACAAGCCAATAAGCTTAATATAACTGTGCAGACATATCTTAACTCAGTGTTCTCCCACCTTGGTAATTTTAAGACAACGGACTTCATTTCCCAGAATTGCCAAGGTAGAAAAACATGCCTCATTAAAACTGGCCCCTGCAGATCAGATACTTTAACAGATTAACAGAGTGGGAAGGGACCTTGTAGGTCATCTAGTCTAACCCCCCAACCTCGGGGCCCAAGCAGGAGACCTTACACCATTTCTGACAGATGGCAATCCAGTCTCTTCTTGAAAGCCTCCAGGGATGAAGCTCACGGATTGATGGGAATTTGTTGAATGTGGTGGGGGTGGAACTCTGGGCATGTGCAAAGTGTATTCTGCAATCGAAGTATTTATGCACAGTAAAGGCAGGCAAGTGAGATCCAGGATGGTGTGGTGTCCAAGGCCAGGAGCAGAGAGATCTGTGAAACGGGGCTTAGCTATGAAAGTCAACTGGGTAGTTTGCGGCCAGTCACTCTCTCTCAATCACAGGAAGAGGAAGAAAATGTACAAATATATATAAGAAAGAGGAATCTTAATCTTAATTTCCTTCTGATTATTTTTGCAAGTAAACTGTAGTGATTTTTTTTTTTTTTGCTCCAAACATCCCAAAATTTCATGGACTTGACTACGAAGATAGCAAAAGTTAAGATTACAGAAATTCCAGAGGCCACCAGAGGGCAGCGAAGCGATGGAGAAAATGCGAAACTCCCCGCTGCCATCTAGGGGTCATCCAAATTTTCACAGCTGGACAAAGCAACTGGAATAAAACCTGCTTTGGGATTGATTTGTGGGAGACATGCAAACTTTTAAAATAAATACATGCAGAATTTATTTACTGATCTGGGCTGTGCCCTGAGTTATGCTAAGATCCGAAGGGAAGGTTGGAGATCTTTGCCTTGACTTGGTTTCCAGATGTGGGGGGGGGTGTCAATCATTTTGGGGCTTTTAAAAACAAATGTGCAATATTTATGCGGCCCGCATCCTGTTGGGCTCAACTGCATTTGCGACAACGCAATCAAGTCCTGTGTCTGCATTGTTGGATTTCTCTAAGAAAGCACAACAGGGCAGCAAAACTGAGATTGTGATCATATTTGAATGTGACATAAAGCATGCAAAAGTCCTTTGCAACCCAAGCAGAATACCGCTAGTCCTCGACGTACAACCACAATTGAGCCCAAAATTTCTGTTGCTAAGTGAGACAAGTGGTTAAGTGACCCCAAAGGTGATTTTTACCCAAGATTTTCTGGGTTTTTTTGAAGACATTTTGCTTCTCATCCAAGAAGCTTCTCCAGTTCTGACTGGATGGTGGGAGGAATGGAAGAATTTATATTCCTTGCAGACAGCTGGTCATTTGCATCCTTTTTAGAGGGTCGTTGAGGCCACTTGGAGGTTTGTCTGCATCTTGATGTTAAGTGAGTTTTGCCCCACTTTACGACCTTTCTTGCCACAGTCGCTTAATGAATCTCTGTAGTTGCTCAGCGAGTCACCCTGTTGTTAAACGAATCCGGCTTCAGCATTGACTTTGTTTGTCAGAAAGTCCCAAAAGGGGACCACGTGACTCAGGGACACAGCGACCGTCATAAATACGAGTCAGTGGCCAAGCATCTGAACAATGGGGATGCCGCAGTGGTCGTAAGTGTGAAACACGGTCATAAGTCTCTTCCCCCCCCCCCAATGAAAAGCTGTCACCCAATGACCTGTTGTAAGTCGAGGACGACCTGAGTGGAGTCTCCTGCTTGAGCAGGGGGTTCGACTAGAAGACCTCTAAGGGGTCCCTTCCAGCTCTATTCAGATTGATGGGATATTTCCCACTTTCCCTTGCCCCTAATCCTTTGAGGATAACCCTTAGCAAAGTTTTTTTTTAATATTTAAAAATTATCCAGTTGCGATCCAAACGCGGCGCATCCCTTCATTCATTCGGAGGATCGCGGCTGTTCCGCGCCTTTCTTTCCCTCCGGCAAACAAAGGGTGCTGGTTGAAAAAAGAACCCGGAAGTCGCTCCTCTTGAGACGGGGCGGCGCCTCTACACGTTTTTTACGCTCTATGTCCCGAAGCGGCGCGTTCCGGCTCTTCTGTTGCGGAAATGACGGTGTTTTTCGGCGACGGGACTTCTGGTCAAACCCGGAAGTGGCCTTGGCCTGCTTGTTTTTCACCCGCGGAGAAGACGAGATGGACGTTCTCAAGGCGGAGGTGGAGCGGAAGCGGAAGCTGGTGGAGGAGAAGGAGCTGCTGGCGGTGAGGGGGGCGGGCCTACCTCGCAGGGTTGTCGTTCTTAGGAGAGGCCGCCTTAGGAGGAAGAAATCCGGGTTGTTTAGAGCGAGAGAGGCCATTAAAGGGCTTTAGAACCCCCCCCCTGGCTTTTTTGGGGACGCATGGAGCCTGTCCTACCTTGTAGGGGGGTTGTTATTGGAGGTCGCCTTGGGGGGGCCCTTTGGGGAAGGGAATTGGGATTCATTAGGGCGAGGGTTGGTATCAAAGCGTGTGTGTTGGGGGGGCGCTTTTTCCTTCTCCCTGCTCCCCTTTCCCAGCCTGGCCTGCCTTGCAGGGCTGTTTTTTGGGGGAGAAAACCCTGGGAGGAAGAGGCTGGAGTCAACAAATGTGGCCCACAGAGGAAATTAAAGCAACATTTAGGGGCTAATTTAACCTGTGGTGCAGCACACAAGACTAATTATTTTGTTACCCTTAAGGTAAAAGGTAACACATATGTGCTAGTCATTCCTGACTCTAGGGGGCGCTGCTCATCTCCATTTCAAAGCCGAAGAGCCAGCGCTGTCCGAAGACGTCTCCGTGGTCATGTGGCCGGCATGACTCAATGCCAAAGGTGCATGGAGCACTGTTCCCTTCCCATCAAAGGTGGTTCCTATTTTTCTACTTGCATTTTTTGCCTGCTTTCGAAGGTTGGCAGAAGCTGGGACGAGTCACGGGAGCTCACTCCGTTAGCTTCCCATAAGTCAAGTCNCCTCAAAAATAATAAGTCTTGCTACTGTGTTTCCCCGAAAATAAGACAGGGTCTTATTGTCTTTTAATGCCCGAAATAAGCGCTTGGCCTTATTTTCAGGGAAGTCTTATTATTTTTGAGGTGCAGGAGGCAGCAAGCATGGTCACCTCATGGCTGCTGCTGTGTTGCAATATTTTTAGGGAGGGCTTATTTTTGGAGGAGGGCTTATTTTAGCGCATGCACTCAAAAGCCCAATCGGGCTTATTATCCAGGGAGGTCTTATTTGGGGGGAAACAGAGGTCTACATAATATCATTTACTCAGAGAAATCTGGATAGACTTGCAATTTCATATAGCATTTTCTCTATATAAGAACTTATATATTTGATACAGTGTTGTCCTGGAAATTGTCCGTCATGTGACCAAGTCTGTGGTCGAACGTTAGGATGTCGTAACCACAAGTGTCCTTCAGTCTGCCACAGAGGTAAGAATGAGCTGGAAATCCTGCTTATAACATTTTAAACTGAATGACATCTGACTCCTTGCTTGGAGCTGCAAAACATTGCCTGTATATAATCACAGATACACTACATTGCCAAAAGTATTCGCTCACCCATTCGCTTCCTATAATCTTCTCAGTTGTCCTTACCACTCTCTGTAGGGACTTTCTATCTGAGACACTGCTGCCACCAAACCAAACAGTGATGCAGTTCGTTAAAATGCTCTCAGTCGTGCTTCTGTAAATAGTGGCCAGGGCAGAAGGAGAAAGATGTGCTCTTCTCATCCAACATAAAAAATGCAGATGGTGGTTTGGATGCTTCATTAAAACTAATGTATGAAGAGACCAAGTCAGTTGTGGCTTTAAAAACAATCTGAGCTTTGATCTGCAGATAGGTCAAAGAATTTTGGGGTGTATTTTGGAACCTAAAATTCTGTCTTTTCTGTGTTAAGGTGCGCTAGGTCAAAACCTCTCACTCTAGTTCATTTGCCTTATTAATTTTGTTGCTTGATAGGATTGTGTCAAAAGATGGTATAGGAATGAAATATCTTAAAGAATGAACAGTAAAAAATAATAATATCCCCACTAGCTCTAATAATGTTATTTAAGTTATTTCTTATTTTTAATGCACTGAATTAAATAGTTGGGTAGGGAAATAATTCACAGAAGACAAGTAACAGCTTGTTTAGCTTTTATCACATTGATGAAAATTGCACAAGAATAACCCTATAATTTAATTGCTGGCTTTGGGCTTGAGGAAAACATGGCTCACAACGCTGAGACGATGAATAAGCTTTCCACATTATTATTAGTTTCCATTATATCGCGTGCACACAGAACCCATTATTGTGTTCTGTGTGCACGCGATGTAATGGAAACTAATAATAATTATTCTATGAAAGTGCTTCAGATTTGTTTGCAGAAACAAATGTTAATTTTGGCAAATCATAGACAGATGCCCTGTGGAGGAGTCAGACATGGGTTTACTTCTGAACTTTAAGAAATTAGAGAGAAATAGCTATCAGTGTCAGGCATGCCTCCATCAATAACCAAGAAAGAAAACTCCCAACTCCATTGTTCCTGGAATTAAAATGCTTTTACTGGTTATGAAAAGATAGCAGCAAAAGTAAAGCAAGATCTGAGCCAGAAAGGCGCGAACAAGTACATATCAAATAATAACCCAGCCCCCTCCAACGACCCCATTCCAGTGACCCATCTGCCACTCCGTTAGGTGTCATGTGAATTGCATCTCCAAAAGGCATCATCATACAGGATGGTTGGCCTTGACCAGGTCCAAACACCGCCCCCCCCCCAGCATGCGCAGATGATGTTGAGAAGAAAACTCCATTTTCCATATCACTCCTCTACCATTTATTCCCATCCCAAATACCACGCCCCCACCCTCCCCGTTTCTATGGCAGCCGATAGCAAGTAAACGAAACAGAGGCTGACAATCAGTAGAATTGTACTAATACTGTTAGCGTTCCAAATATCGTGCAGAATTAAATCAGAGTCCAAGGCAGAGCTATCCTTAAAGTTCCAATTTAATAAGACAGACATGTTGGCATCGTGTTGTGGAATCCCAATTCTGGGAGTTACATCGGATTCCCACCCAGTTGAAAGTTCATGATCTTGTCCCCACACCCACAAATCCATCACATGGTCCAATCTTCTTCCACGCTGGCATCTCCACCCAGCTGGTTCCGGTGAGGTGCCAAGGTGCGGAGACAAAAAATGACCTAGGGCTTCTAGAAAAGAATGATAACAACACATTCTACAATTCTACTCCTTTCTATTCCCCCTCCCAATTACCTACTGTGACTTTGTAAATTTGGCTTAACTCTA